ACCAGGGTTCCCCGTAACGCAAGGCAGTGTGGTAGGCCCGACTGGAGCAGGAATAGAGTGGAAGTCACAGCCGCAGACAGTTAGATCGGGTCGTTTACGGTACACTGTAGCCGTAGGGGACCAAGGAAGGTACTCCGTACTCTGAACTTGAAAAAGTTGTGAGCCAAGGTGGCTGAGATGCTAGGTACTGAAAGGCGATACTCCGACAGCCAAGTCGAGTTAGGCCAGAGAAGCGCGTGGCTGAAGAGCTGGCAGAGAGAATACAGAGTGTGCGTGAGGTATCCGGGAAATGGTCGGAAAACAGGTTGTCAGTGGAATCGGCTGGTGAGCAGATACTCGGTCGATACTAATTCGTAGTGGATTCGGCTTAGGCCACCGAGGTCACCTCTGCTGTGTACCGGTATCCGTGTGTGGGTGTGTGTCAGGTACCGGGAATGCAGCGATGAAGGGCGTAGCGGGAAGACAGGATGGATCGGTGGGGACGGCTCGCGGGTAGAGAAGAAGTCCAGACCCAGTGTTGATCTGTGTGGTGTCCGTAAGAGGCAGTCTCAGGTCTGGGAGAGGTGCGGGAAACTGGGAATACCAGTGATGGATTGGATGGGGACGTGGCAGTCGTTCGTCTTCTCCGTCTCTCTCTGGTGCAAGTGTCTCTCGGTGTGTTCAACAAGCCCCTCTGCCCCTGCCCTGCGTCCAGAAGGACAATCCGAGAGGGTCGAGACACGGGGGAGTCGTTGATCGGATGCGTCGAAGCTAGGTCCAGTGACTCTCTGGTGCACCAATCACAATGTTGCTAGTCGGGCTGATCCGATGTGTCCAAGGTGGTGCGATGAGAACAATGTCCAGGTGCAGGTGCAGGCGCAATCGAGTGACCATACATAGATGGCTGGCTGTTGACTGTCCGGAGACAGCAAATTGTGAGAGGCCCGAGAATTAATAGTTGATGGTTGACGGTTGATGGTTCATGGTTGTTGACGCATCCAACAGAGGTGGGGTACGAACTTGTGTTATTTTATTTCTTCCCCCTTGGGGCCCTAGACAGGTGGGACGTACTCCGTAAGGTTCCTTGCTCCGTCCGCTACGGATACCTAGGTAGGTACGTAGACTCTGATCCCGCAGACGAATGGAAATGGCCCAAGGACAAGTGGGATTCTGGAACCAGACGAGCGTGCAGATGTGGGTTGGGGAAGGAAGGGCCCAAGGGAAAGCAAGCACGACAAGCGGAAGGCAAGAAACACCCCGGTGCAGGTGCCAACCAAACAGGCCCTTTCCTCCAAAGCCCACCTCAACCTGAGCTCTTGCCGTCAATCTCGAAATCGTGTACCATTGCAGCAGGCACGCTCGTGATCAACCAACGGTCCAGTCCCTTCCCTCCATGTCCGCACATCTGATCGGGTACCTATTGCAGGTACCTACCTTACCTTATGACTGACTTCCTCCGTTGAAGGATAAATTGATTCTTGACTCTTCAACTCTAGAGTTTAAGAGTTTGACAACCGAAGACAGACGGTTGAAGACTTTGCCCTCCACGATATACTCTCTTCGGGGTTTGCCAATCCTGCCCGCCCAGGACCGAATCCGAACAGCAGCGTTGACGAAATACTTTAATGACTTAGACTCCCGTCGTCCGTCTCATCCCGTCTCGTCCTGTGGTCCTCAACCACACCATTTAGCCGTGCATCCCGGACCGCCACTCGACTGCTGTGTAAAGGAGGGATTTGGGAAGCAAAAATGGCTTGCCTTTGAGATATGCGCAACAACATTTGTCCAGTCGAAGGTAGGGTGTAGTCTCTACCTACCGTTTTCAGGGCATTTCAGAATAAATCTACCTGGCCGGAAAGAAGCGTGAGAAGTGTTGCACCCGGTGCGAAGGGAGAAGTATGAATATACTGTGTCCGTAGTCCGAGAAAAAACCTCTTGTCCGCTTTTCCTCCGCCGGCTCCATACAATGCGGATGCGCGATGCGATCGATGCCATACATACCGTACTTACTGGTTAAGCCTCATATGGCATGCCGGCCTGTTGTTGGATATGCCCTAGTAGTTCCGTGTGCTGCCGCCTGCGGCTTGCGTGCATGGGCGACCCAAGACTAAGACACCCAGGTCCCGATCGAGCAAGCAGAAGAAGCAGGGTTCAGTGCGGTAGCTTAAGGCATCTAGAGTTGTAGATTTGGGGTCCCTACCTGAACTCATGACACCTGCGTTACAGGACCCGTCAACCTTTTCGCCATCGCCATCATCTACTTACACACAACAATGACAACCTGAAGGGACGGATCACGGATCTACGTTCAGTTGTTGTGCTCTCTTGGAATCCCAATCTCCCACACCGAATGGTCAGACCGGCACAGCGTAAGGTGGGTAGACTGATACTTCCCGCCTCACTTTTCGCTTTCAACTTTTCTTGGGCAAATGATTATGCCTGGATTTCAGGTATTCACTCACGCAGTCGACAGGCAACGCAAAAGGCCAAACAAAGGTGCGGATAATACTATTGGACGTTTTCTTCCCGCCTTGAATGGCGCACGGGCACCTCGGTCAAGATTTTGACTTTTGCAGTGTTCCCTATCGCGCCATCCAATCCTTTACCTCGTCTTTTGATGCAACATCATACCTCTGGCAAGTATCCGTACCGCCTTGCCATTGATGTTATTACCTGAGAATACCTATGCAACCGTATGAATACATACATGGGTTCTTCCCAAAAAGCATCTCTCCTGATGAAAGTATATCCTATTCAGACAGAAGAAGTAAGAAAAGGCAACAATTGCTTCCCGGGCAAAAGATTGGCTGCGGAAGCAGGAAAAGGCGTATCGGCTCCTGCCATCTGAGTGACATTGAAAAGAAGAAAAGCACAGTGCACCTTCATTTACTCATTTAACCCCTGTCGGGAGTGTTTCCAGATGGGAAGCTGCGGCAGACTGGGATTGTCATTGGTCAGTCATCCCACGGTACGTACCGCCCCTCCCGCGTCAGAAAGTGGAGAAGGAGCCGCCGCACCGGCTGCGCACCCTCCCTCCCAAGGCTTCTCCTCCTCCAACCTTTCTTGGCGACATGCAACCACGACGCTTGACGCCTGGATGCTCGACGCCTTTGGTCTACTTTTGTTTCTCTCCTGCCCTGAGCAGCCAACCTTGCATCTGAACGGCAAAGCAAAACGGGATTTGCCCAAATCACCCTCATATCATTCTTTCGCAGCCGCAGAATGCACAGAGGCGGTGATTGCCTACGCCATCTCGATTACGCACAAGGGTAGGTCGGTCGGTCTCTATACTTTTGCTTGGTGCTGTATCAACGCTGATATGCTACAGAATTCATACTCGTCTTGCCTTTCTGGCAACGTTGTGCTCGATCAATGGAGACAATCATGAACTACGACCAGATATTCGGCAGTCTCATCTCCTTTGGGGAACACTGCGGCTCGATACACCCATGTATTATTTGACAGAAGAATTTGATCCTCCGGTATTACGCATTCGCACAAACATCCCCCCCCCCCCCTTTCGCTTTCCAAGTGCAAGCTGCGGACATTGCGCTTGCGCTTCTCGGCTACCTTAACCGCACGGTATCCAGTTCGGACACAAAGAATCAGCAGACGACCAGCCAACCCGAAAGCCAGCGATCCCATCAGTAAGCGAAGTCGTACTATCTATCGCAAGAGTCACAGACCACTCAGATGACCCGTTGTTTCTCTCACAGTGAGCTGCACTTCACCTGTAGGGTGCCTTGCAATGTGGGTCGCTCTAGCTAAGATGCATTGCATAAAAAGTAGATTGGATACAGACACTAGGCCGTATCTAGAGTCTCAGGTACCGACTTCCCATCTAATTCTGTGCAGCACTGCAGCATGCAGTCGGGTCCAGTTATGTTGGCACATCCCTGATAGGCTGCTGATCGAGCAACTAACTATCCGTACGAAGCAGACGTACGAATATCTACCTACACTACCACCACTCTTTGCACCGGCTGTTCCGCGACCTGTGCACCACGTTTCCCAACCCACGTCCACATCACCTCACCAAGCAGACGAATATTCGTAAATCGCCGCTACCCTACGGAGTCCTGCAGTTCTGATCTGAACTCAGTCGCTGTGGTTAGGGTAATTTTGGACGCTGACATATTTATTGCTCCCGAGAGCGTCTTCTCTTGACGCACTCTTTATCCTTTTCTTTCAGCGGACCACATACGACCAGGACACAGCCAATGCCAGGATACAGCCTCTGGGAGGCGGGGATACGCAAGCCGCACCGGCAGCGCTCGCCAAATAGAACCATTCCGACTACGAACATCTACCCCTCGCCTCTCGTCGCTAGTAGCTGAACCGTATTGCTCTTTTGTTTGAACCTGACAGATACCATCCACGATGCTTGCTCGAAAGGCTTAGGCCTCGCTCTGGAAGCGATCAGCGGTTGCCAGCTCAACGTAGCCAGAAATGCCCAGCAGCATTAGGGTTCAGCAAGGAAATCGATGGCAGAACTCGAAACCTAAATAGGACGGGCAACATGCGACTTGAGCACACCGAGTCTGCTGGACGTTGGCAAAGTTTTCGGCGAACCATCCGAAAACCTTATCCTCCAGAAAGGTAGCTACAGCCATCAACACAGTCTTCAACTCTTTACCGGTATACCTTTCCAGTTGGAGGGACTACCTAGGGCTGGAACGAGGATCAGGGCCAGAACAACGATGGTGACGAGCCCTTGGTCCAAGTGCAGATCTAACTCAAACGTTTGTTCGAGAAATCCCCAGATGTCAGGTGGCGACAATCACGAATTGGGCAAAAGGCATACCTAGACAAGAAGACCAATCACTTCCTTGCCGGGTCGCTGCGCGGGTGGGAGCCGTCATCGTCAGTCAACCGGGGCCCTCGGATGATTGGGTGAACCACCCATCTATTCCCCTTGTTACACAGCAGCCCAGCAAGCTAAGCTCGCTCCCTTCTGGCTGTTTTGCTTTTCCGACATCACCAGTTTTGCCGTCGTCCCAATCGCTCGATCTCATCTCAAGTCAGACCTTGTCGTAACCATTACAGATCACGGCCTGACGCTTCGGTAGATCTGTCGCCGCATCGCCGACCCCAGTGCCGCCTTGTATTGACAACGGCCCTTTCCTCTCGTTGTCGAAGCTTTGAGGATGTATCCGCAACGAAGCTTTCCCATCACCCGTCAGGGTCATCTTCCGGTGGTTCCAGTAGGGTGGGCGGCCCAAGCTCTCGCTCTCAAGCCAGCCGGTGCCATCACTAGCCCCAAGCTTCCGGCGTTGCTTCTTTTTGAGGTCAGAGGAAGAGAATGCCTCGCCTTTACTCACTGTATTGGTCCATGTCGATGATCGTATATGAGCGAAGCAAGCATGCCGATATCAAAACCATCAAACCGATGTCAGCATACACACTTCAAGCATGCCGCCCCCACTGCCACTTTTTTACTTTGCAGACGGAACACATGATTAGTAGATGATGCCGTTTGCACTTTAGTCGCGGCGACGGTATACGTACGATTCCAGACGGACACCCAACTCTGACTTCTTTTACCCTTGCGTCGTCTAACATCATTGCCGAATCCTGCGCCCCCATATCAGGCGCGGAATAGCCAACTGTCGGTACTTTTCGGGAAAGTACAGGCAGTGCCAAATCGCGTCTCATGTCTCCTCTGAAGAGCAAAAAGGCATCAAACCAAATCGATGAGCCTACATATATACTCGACACTCATACATCGTCGCTTGCTATGTAGAGAGCACGAAACCACGCATCTCCTTCTTTTTTCTTTTTTCTTTTTTTTTTGGTGTTCAACAGCTATCCCTTGAGACTTCTGTAAGTCGACGCTCCTATCCTTGTGTTTGGTATGGGCGCCCATCGCTGTTGGTACCCGTGTTCTGCTTCAACCTTGCGCCACCTCTCACTAGCCTAAGAGTAACCTTGTGGAATGTCGTGTTGTTTTTGTGCCACCTTAGGCGGTTTAGGCTTCAGCTATATATTTCCTTCATGTCGAGAGACTGGAGCCCGTCAGCCCCAGCATCTAAAGAGCCTCTTATAGTGCCACCGACAAATCGTCTGATTAGGCGAATTACGGCAGTGTCATATCCGCCGGCGATGTCATTTTGCCGCCCGGATACGCTCTCCTGGTGAACAGGACTGGCCAGGCGCATAACAGGTATGGCGTACCTAGCTTACACGCTAAATACAACTACATACCTCTGCTGACGCCAGACGATGTCGAATATCAGAAAGCAACCCTCAATCTCGCTCGCACTGTGCGGTACATCGGCAGTCCAAGTTCGACCCCATACCGAATTTGGGTTGGTAAGGCCTCCATCGAAGCACAATGGCGCATGATGGCAGCTCATCTGATTCGCGAAGCATGTTACAAGATGGATCGAAAGAGACTGGATCTGACAGCCAATTGTTCGATTTTGCCCAGGTCGAAGCTTTGACAGATGTGTCGCAGTCAACGTCACCGACAAGCAGATTCACTGCCTCGCTCCCGTTCCAGCTCGGCGAGGGCTCAATATAGATTCCGCAGGAATTCGTGTATCTCCGCAAACCTACTTGATGACGGACCAGTTGGTCATTCACACAAGATTATAGAACGGAGTACATTGCCCAGAGTCAGGACATGTCGTCGTAAGTATCCTTATCGGCACCTTTGATATCTTCGACGGCCGCCGATCAGTCTTCTCCGCTAGGCGGGAGACGCACGGGCTCCTATTCCACCCGAGATCACGGATAGAATCCGCTTGCTACACGCTTCTAGTCACTGCCATTCCCCCTTTGTCTCTTTCACACTTGCATTGAACGTTGGTACGGATCCTCGCCCCGTGATAACCCCAATGCTCTGAGCTACCTATCCGAAGGTCGCAGCCTTTTGAAAGATGCTTTCTTGTACTTCTGGCTCCATGTTTAGCCGTTTCACATTTCGACGCCGGGATCACCTTTCCTACGGGTGGCATGACGGATCTCGTCTGGCTCCCGTCGATGATCCAGGAAATCGACGAGGTCTGTGTGTCGTCTCAACGAAATGTTAAGACGAATAAAGATCGTGCCACGGTTTATTACTCACAATTCGCAAATCTGCCTCCGGAGTGTACTCCTGTAAGGCAGTCCGCGGAGTGCGCGGGCCCAGTACGACGATGTTGGACAACAAAATGCCACCCATACTTCTGCCACTCTCCATAGGGCCGAGGCAGTGAGGGCCAAAGTGTGGCACACTTGACAAGCAGGACCACCACCAAGCCTCGAGGCTGCAGCAGACGAGACATTTTGCCGTTTCTTAGCCCTACGACTTGGGCGGTATGCTTGCTTCCCTCTCCTCAACAGCACAGGGCGAGGAGGAGGACCCTCCTGGCAGCTTGGCACGTCCTTGCTGCTGGCAAACGCTCGTGCGGTCTAGCGGGAACCATCTAACAGATCTTGCTTCCCAAAGACAGCCTCCCACGCCTCCATGTTCAAGGGATGCCAACGTAGCTTGCACGCTTGGGCAATTATGTAAGACGCCGTCTCGACTTGGGCATTACATGCGTCTGCCTACTTGTAGCACCTACTTGCTGCACAGACCTGGTTATCAGTAATACAGTATCAACGATTCCGGACTCTGCCTTTAACACGATGGCAAACTACTGCATCGTGCTTCGAAAGCATTGACTCGGTAGAATTGGTAGACTTAACGGAAGCCACTGTTAGAGTTTCGTAAGGCTATTTGTAGAGTCATTCCTCAATTCAGCATAGCGTATCTCCTACCATCAAAAGCTTGTTGGGATAGCCAGCCGCATTCCTAGTACTGGTGAAGTGCAGTACGTTTCTAAAGGCGTTGAACGTCTGTTACGAAGCAGCAGACAATAGCACGATCGAAATCTCTCGCTAGAATCTTTCTTCTGGTCACAATGGGAGAATCACAAATCTGAATGAACGGAAGCCGGACCAACTCAGATTCAGGCTGGCCCAGGCCCGGTCCGGCCGGATTTCTCCGAGTATCAAAACGGGACCCCACGAACAGTGTTACTCGGTAAGTTGCAAGGTGCCGAAAGCAAAGCTAATCAAGACGGGCCTCCGTAGATTGCTGCTTTTGATGCGAATCGGCCACATCGATTCTAACTCATGGTGGGCAGTCGATTGGCCTGCCTACCCGGCCGCCCGCCCGTATGGCAGACAAAGTACTCGAGAGGGGGGTTGAGCCGAGGGAAACTTCATTAAACACAAGATCTACCTCTCTGCTATTGAGAAGCAACCAAGTCAACGCTTTGCCGAACTGCCCAATCATTCTCCATCTCACGGGGGAGCCTACGGGAAACTTCGTGCTCGTACACGGCAAGACGTTCAGGCAGGCATAGCGGGCAGCATTACGAAGGCTCTCGCTCGACCCCGATCCGGAAATTCGAAAGCGAACGTCCGGCCCTCGGGGTCTTGTACCGGTCCGGTGCAAGGACCGGTACAAAAACAAGTTGAATATGGGTATTCTAACAGACGCCGGGTTGGACCGAAATTTCCATCCCAGGAAATTGTTTGTTGACGAAGCTGTCGACAATCGCTATCTCGATATGGCCCTTTAACACGTCTGCAGGTCCCTTTGCTAGATCGTTTCTCGGTCTACCCGGTTCATCGACGCGATACGGCACTTGTTTATTGTTGAGCAGCAGCTACAGTAGTGGTGACGGCAGGTTTCCACATTACTTGCCGGAGACGTTCTTTCTCGGTCTCGTCTGCAAAGATGGTCTCTATGCCCCGTCGGGCGAGGGCGCAGATTTCGTCGCGGGAGAGCTTGAAGTGCTCCGCTACCAGCCTGTACTCGTTGGACAACGGGCTGCCGAAGACGCCAACGTCGTCGGTCTGGTTTGATTTTGAGAGTTAGCTAACATGCCTTGTCCTTTGAACAACAGATGAGCGTCGCGAAAAGGTTCTCAAAAACGGAGTTGGAGGCCTCAGAGGGAGGAAGAAGAACCATGAGAAAAAGGAACGTACGCCCAGAGATATCAAGCTCCCCTCCACACCCCACCACTCCCCGAAGTGATGGCCCTCGAACCCGCCCGTCACCATACCCGCGTGAACGTTGCAGCTGAGACACAGCTCGAGCCCGATGCCACGCTTGGCGATTTCCCGCTTCACGTCCTCGCCGAGATGGATCACGTGGCCCAGCCGGCGCGGCGACCACGACAGGATCTCGGCGAGCTCCGCCGGGTGGCCGGAGCACTCTGCCTCGCCAAAGTGGATCGTGATGCCGAGGCCGAGGGTCCGGGCTTCGGCGAAGGCGTGGCGGAAGATGGAGATGTTTTCAGAGTCATCGTCCTGGCCAGTGTGAACGCGGGCGGCCGGGTCGCCGCAGAGGTCCACGCCGACGACGCCCCTGTCGCGGAAGGAGGCTGCGAGGCGGACTGTTTCGTGGGCTTGGGATGGGGTGTGGCGGCGGTCGACGGAGAGGATGAGGCGGGTGCGCATGGCGTTTGGGTCATCCCTAGAAGAGGCCTCGAAAGCGTCTATTGCGGAGAGAATGATGGCGACGTAGACGGACGGCGGCTGGGGGGTAGGCGAGGGGAGGGAGCGCGGGGTGGTGCGGAGTTCGAGGTAGGTTACGCCGTCTGCTTGGAAGTCTTGCAGGACGGAGAGGGTTGCTTTGCGGAGGGTGTCGACGTCGGTGATGAGATTGTAGATGTAGGATGAGAAGAGGGGGAAGAAGCTGTGTGCCGAGTGTGTTTGTTAGTCATCCAAGCCAGGGAGCAGAGGTTCTTGAGAGGTAAAGGCGAGGTCAGGCTTTACGTGGTGAGGTCGTAGTCGTGTTTGCCGTCCGGCATCACGACGAGGGGGTCCTCGAGGTCCGTTGCTCCCGCCTCGTGCTTAACGACCCAGATGTCGTGGAGGGTGCGACGGCTTATGCTGCCCGTCAAGTGGGCGTGGAGCTGTGATGGTGTCAGATGAGGGTGTTCATAGCTATAGGTCTCATATCCGTAAGGGTTCTCTTGAAAATATACCTCGATTTTAGGAAGAGCTACAAAATCCATATCTATTGTTGGTTGGGAACCCATCTTGTCCCAATTGTTGCGTTTTGTTCTTGTTGAGGATATCTCGTGCTTGTAAGAAAGTTGTGAGTAGATGTTGGTTTGGTTTTCCCTCCTTATCAGCTGTCAAATGGGAATCGTCGATATCTCACCCCTCTTATTCCTGCCGTCTGTGCGGGTGGGCGAAATTGAACCGTCGGACCGGAAAAGAGGTGGTTGGGAAGAAGATCGCGGGGAAGTCTTCTGGGCGACGTTGAACTCAACTGATGTAGTTTCTAGAGAGGGGCGTGTGAGACAAGGCGACAACACTGCTGTGTCTGGGACAAAAAAAAGTGTGAGGTGTTTCGCGATTGGCAGTGTGCAGTGCAGGTTTCCCGACACGGTTCCGAGTCGGAGCGGGCCGACGATGCCGATCCCGGAGTGCAGGAGCCCCAAATTTTCTGGGATGCGTTTGCTTCTGGTGGAGTGAGACATTCCCGGCGCTGGCCGGCCTATTTGCTTTGTTCGGGTCCGGGTCATTTATGAAACTTTCCGTATGCCAGCTTTTCAATGCTGCGATTTTCTTTTCCTTCCCTTTGTTCCTATGTCTCTGCCGCTACTTTTTACACTTCAATTGACCTTAAGTTCTTATGATACCACCCCACTTGAATCGTTTATACTGCATTGCCAATATTCCTTTCAACGTGAATCATGCATCCTGGCCAACTGACAATTCTGAAATGTTTCTTTTGGCTGGACATGGATCCAAGGTGACATTGCACATCCAGAATCAAGCAGGCTTCAGTCAGCGCACGCAAATCCCAAGAAGATGAACTTTGGTTGTAGTGAACCGAATCAGGCAAACCACTCACATAAACCTCCTGTCTTGCAGTGCATTTTGATTAGTAGTTAAGTGTTTCTTACTATCCATTTGTAAAAACGCAAGCTGCCTTTCTAGTTCACCGTGTGATTCGTACTTGTTTATCGCGAAGTTAACCTGTCCAGCTCTGGTTTGCCATACGGCCCATGTTATAACCACTTCTTCTTCTTCTTGTTACGCCAATAAGGTCTCAAGTAATACCGCTCAAGCAGATTTAAATTCTATTCGATTTTTTGTTTTCCGTGGTATGAAGACCTTCAATCTCCAAATATGATGCAAAGTACATCTGGACATCCAAATTCCGAGGTAGACTTGAGTTGCAATGTTTCTTTCAGAAGGCCACACTTTGCGCATATACATACGATATACCTGGTCTCCTTTTCCACCTAATCTCTTCCCACTCCCCCTACTCCTGCTTATGTCCAATCCTCGGCAGACACAGCCACAACACGAGCATGATCCCCAAGAAGGCGAGGATGATCGGCTGCAAAACCTGCACACCCTTCGCCTGCGCCAGCGCGCCGACGGCAAATGGCAAGATCGCCGCCCCGCTACCGCCAAACGCCGCCGCAAAACCAATGGTGCTGACATGAAGATGCCTCGGCAGCAGCTTCGTCGCGGCGACGACAACGGCCGGGAAAAACGGACCCAAGAAGAACCCCTGAAGCGCGACCGCCACGGCAGAAACGTAAAAGTGCGGCACGAGCCAGAACACCAGCTCGAGCGCCATGGCGACGGGGATGTAGACCGACACGGCGAGCTTGACGCCCAGCCTGGGGGTCACGAAGCCGAGGACCGCGCGGCCGAGGGTGATGCCCAGCCAGAAGCCGACCGAGGTCATGCCCGAGTCGAAGTTGTTGGCTTTGCGGACTTGGATCATGAACTGCACGATCCAGCCGCCGAGGGAGACTTCGGTGCCGACGTAGGCGAGGAGGAAGAGGGCGCAGAGCCAGGTGACGCGGGCGTGGGGGCGTTTGAAGAGAGCGGTGCGGAGGCCGCCTCCGGCGTTGTCGCTGCGGGAGTGGCTTACCAGCTCGCGGTAGACTGCGCCGGTTTGCGTCCAGAAGGCTGCTGTGCACCAGACGAGCTCGATGGAGGCCAGGCCGAGCTGGGGAGGTTGTCGTAGAGTTAGAAAATGTGAAACACCCAGATACTCTCTTCGTTGCAGAGAATGGGTAGAGGGTGAGAGGTGTCTGGTACTCACCATGAAGTAGTAAAAGTTCCACCAACCCAAGTTCGCCTTGTTGATCATAGTCGTAGCAATCAACGGGGCAATCACGCCGCCGACGCCATAAAACGCGTGCAAGAAGCCGAGGACCTCGTTGGCCCTCGCCATGTTGCCAATGTACGCGTTCCACCCGGCGTCGCTCAGGCCGTTACCGAAGCCGGCGACGACGAAGGCGGCCACCAGCGCCGGGTAGGGCGGGTGCTGGGAGATGATGATGTAGGCGACGATGTGGCACGTGGAGGCGATGACGGCGATGCCGCGCTGGCCGAGCTTCAGGTGGACGTAGTTGTTAAGGGCGGCCGAGAGGACGTAGCCGACGAAGGGAGAGAGGAAGACGAGGGAGACGACGACGTAGGAGAGGCCGTAGTAGGTTTCGAGCTGGTCAGGGGTGTCAGTCAGCGTGAAACTGGGGATATCACAGTTAGCTTGGACGGGAGGAAACGCACGTAGGGAATCAGAGCCTGTTTCTGAGGTCAGTCGCTATACGTACGAGTCTTGGAGTTTCTGATGGGAGTGGTGAGAGAGACTTACACCGTAGGCGGCATCGTTCGCACCGGAGACGAGGAGACTGAAGAAGCAAGATAGGACTCTGAAGAGGTTCGACCTCGGGTGATTCCATCTCTGCACAACTTCGGCTGTTGTCGTCGGAGCCGGAAGACCCCCCGTCGCATCTGTATTCGATCCTAGAACATGACCTTCGGTATTTAGGAGGCTGCCTTCCTTCGAGGTCAATTCCTGGAGCGGAATCTCCTGGCCGACCGTCAACGTGGTCGACTCAGCAGACATGTTGTATCTGGTGGTAACAACTCAATGTCCTGTCCCAGACCCTTGAGCAGCTTGTCGACTCGAAGTTGATCAAAGCTTTCAATTAGAATTCTGTAATTGTATTTCAGCCGTAGTCCAGGTAGGCAAAATGTTAGGTGGGCTCGGGGTTTTATGGGAAGCAACTTCAAAGGAGTTTAAATTTGTTTGACAGCTAAGAATGACGAATGGGGATCCTAGTCTACCTTGGACGGAATATGTAATACGCCATTCCTTGCATGGGCGATGTGGGACGATCTCGAGCTCGAAGCGGGTTACTCCAGACTCACGGATACCTACCTTGCGTCACTAAGCTCTGTATCCTAATCAGGGCTGGCTCGGCAGCTACCGAGTACCTTTACTGGTAGTGGGATGGTAGGTCTTCCCGGAGAACATTTCGCAGCCAGAGTCAGGACTCAGTTAGTACGACTTTATGTGACTTTAGCAATGTTACGAAGCAAACACCAGCGCTGCCATGGTGAACAATCGCCAACCCCGGAAACTCGGACACTGCGAAACGGCGGGCGGCCCGAAGGCCCGGAGACTCGATGGGCCTGCGAGCAACGCACATCGGAGAGCTGATTGGCTAGCTGGGTAATGTTCGGTGAATCTGAGGGTGAAGGTGCCTAGAAGACCGGTAGCCGGCTAAATATTCTGTCCCCCACGAGACTCGTTCACCATGGTTAGACCCGAGGAGACGGCGGAGAGGAGCGGACATCAGGCCCCGGTTTATTGTCAGAAGTGGATTCAAGGATTTGAAGTGTTTCCTCATTGGGAAGGATTGTCAACCTGTAGCGGCGACACTCCGCGACGCCTATTTAGACTGCGTTGGAGGAATAAGTGCGTCACGGGGTGATGAGTAGTAGGATTCCATTGACTAATCTCATATGTGCCAGAGAGGTCTGAATATAAATTCCGCAATGTCATTAGCTTGAATGAGTCATCTTGCCGTGCTTACCCTTCCTCGTTCGGGTCAGCATGTTTCTTGTGTGACTTTCCCCGTCACTCTTTGAGGGGGTTACTAGAGAATCATGGAATTCCCAAATTAGTTCAGCGACGAAAAGAATATCCAGCATCCTGTTGTCTATAGCCACACCAAACGAGACAATTTCACCGCAGGAACTCGGGATATAGATGAATATCTCACTCGTTATCGTTCTTCATTACACGTCCGCCATTTTCGTTGCTTCGAGCGGACCTCCAACAACAGTAACGTAAACCCTGGCTGAGAAGCCAACTCTATCGGTCTTGAGATGAAGAAGTTCCAGCTCAAGAGTCTTCTTCCTCGGTAAAAAGACGAACGACAACACAGTTCATCCATGAGCAGATGAAAGGGTCGACACAGGAGAAGAAAGAACTCAACCGTCACAAGCCCTTCTCCATGCCCGCCGCAATCCCACATGCCAACCGATCTTCTTCCATCTGATCTCAAGTCGCTCACCTACCTAGTCCCGCAGCCTCGTGGACACCAGCTAACAAGGGATGTTCAAACTTGCCAGGTGTCACCGCATCTCAACCTTCGTATACGCCCAGCCAAGCCCTCATCCTCAATCAACGAGGTCCCTCCAAAACGTCACGACTATATGTTCAGAAGCAGAATTTCATTAAGCCTCGGCATCTCCCATCTAACAAAAAGGCCATACGTAGACGGCAGATGCCATCAGGGTGAAGCCCGAACAAGCTCGGTCATGCAGGTGAGATATGGAGTCTTGTGCCCCGTCTTCCGAGATCACCCGCAGGGCGATGCATTCGTTCCCAGCAATCCGGAAACTTTTTGCGCAGCTTCGGCTCGTCCCGCTGCCAGCCGCTTAGTCCAGCACAACATTACCCTATCCCACGAGTATCCGTACAGATATCCATCTGCCTACATCACATCACATGTCGCAAGCTAGGTGAACCATGCGTCCGTCATGTCATGTTGTATGTGTCTTAATCGTAACATTTCCTCATTATTCAACTCTCACGCGTTCGAGCGCAGGATAAGCCGAGGACCCTCGGTAGTTGTTTTTTGAACATTGTACAGGTGTTATTGGCAAAGAAAAGCAGCATCGGACAAATTCCTACAGGTGTAATGGTAGGTAGTCGTGTATGCGTTTGTTGGTTTTTCATTCCCCCCCTTCTCGAAGGAGGGACTTGAATCGGGTGTCCCAGTTTCTACCCAGTCTATCGTTTCCCCGCCCAGCCATTAAAAGCCGATCGATTCTATCGTTTCGCTCAAGACACCAATAAAACAAACAGAGGTCTGACGGAAGAAAAGGTTACAGGACACAAAAGAGAAACAGAAACACAAAGAAGTAGAATTATCCCAGCGCCAAAGGCAAGGAAAATGATTCATAAACGCCTAGAATAAAGCCACCCAAGCTTATTCTCTTGAGATGTCGCGACCAAAGACCTTGGACTTGAGCCAGTCATTGACGACGAGGAGACGGTTGCGAGCTAAAAGGTCAAGAGCGTTAGCATGTGACTACAGTAGGCAGAATTACGTCAGGGGGATATAGAACTTACTGCTGAAGCACATGGAAAGGTAGGCACTGCGCCAGAAGAAGTAGGTCATAGTACCACCACTGGCAATGTTTCCGTTCCACCAGGCAACATCGGCGACAGCCTTCTCGCTGCCAATGTAGGCCAAGCTGCCCTGGTGAGAGTAGTGGAAAGGCTTGATGTCTTTAATGCGGCGGAGCTGGCGCTCGTGAGCCTCGATCTCCTTGGCGACCTCGGCAGCGTTGCCGGGCTTGAGGTTCAGGTTGGCGCTGAGCTCCTGGACGCGTTCCTCGAGGGTCTCGGTTCTGGCCATGTTGTTGAAGAGTTTGGCAAGGAAGTTACCCTCCTGTGCGGCGACCTGAGCAGTCGGGGCGTATCCAGCGACAGCGCAGTCGCCAATGGCCCAGATGTCACGGGTGCCCTGAACAACGAGGTACTCGTTGACGGCCAGACCGCGGCGAGAGTCCTTCTGGGCGGGGATCTTGGTGATGAGGTCGCGGATGATGGGGCGGACAGCGTTACCGGTAGCCCAGACGAGAAGACCGTAGGGAATGGTGAGGGTCTGCTTCTTTCCGTCGGGGCCGGTACCCTCGGCCTGGACGTAGGTGTCGGTGACCTTCTTGACCATGGTCTTGGTCAAGATGTCAATCTTCTCCTCCTCAAAGGTCTTCTCGGTGTACTCAATCAGCTGCTTGGAGAAGGAGGGCAAGACGTTGGGGAGAGCCTCGATCAGGGTAACCTTGAAGCGGTCGGCAATCTCGGGGACCAGACGCTTGATGTCCTGCTCGAAGAAGTCCTGAAGCTCACCGGCGAACTCGACACCAGTGGGGCCACCACCGACGACAACCATGTGCATGAGACGGCTGACATCCTCGGCAGACTGATCCTTGAAGGCGGCGGTCTCGACGCAGTCCATGATCTTCTTGCGAATCGCCTGGGCGTCGTTAATCTCCTTCAAGAAGCACGAGTTCTCGCGCACGCCGGGAATGCCAAAGGTGGCATTCTCAGCTCCGACACCGACGACCAGCAGGTCGTAGGCGACCTCAGTCTCGGAGGTGGTGCCCTTGATCTCCGACGTATCCAGGATCTTGACAACCTTTCTCTCGGGGTCGACGGAGCTGGCCTCGGCTTCGTAGAACTTGACGGCGGCCTTCTTGTGACGGAGGATGGTTCGGATGGGCTCCATGATGGAGCGGTGCTCAATGGTACCGGTGGTGCAGGAAGGCAGAAGAGGGGTGAAGAGGAAGTAGTTTCTGGGCGAGATGACGACGACGTTGTAGTTCTCCGTGTCAAGCTTCTTCAAGAGAGAGACGGATCCCCAGCCAGTGCCTGTTACAAGTTGTCAGTATGCGCGATATGTGCAGTGGGTGTATGAATGCGGCGCAGGCCGTCGAGTGAGGAACTCACCGAGAATGACCAGCGTCTTCTTGGTAGGGTCCAGCTCTACCTGATCCTCGGGGTGCCTGTCATCGTAGACAACATATCCAATGTAGCCGAAGAGACCGAGGGCAGAGAGGTAGGTCAAGCGCCAGGCCCATCTGAAGGTCTTGCGGACCTTGCCAGCCTTCTTGGGAGCGACATCGGCGTAGTTTCTGGTAAGCTGGCGCGCAACGGTTCCGACCTGGGGAAGGGCGGCGGATCTCGGCCTCGCGGTGAGGGTTCTGAGAGATTGTCTGGAGGTGGTTGTGAGGGTTCTGCGACCGGCATTGGCAGCACGCGGAGCTTTCGGGAGCAGCTGGTGGGCTGCGCGAATGGAGCTCATGGCTCTGACGGAGGAAGCCATTGCTTCAATTGGTGATGGAGAGGAAGGTCCCCGGTAACCAAAGATGGTTCTTGATGGCGAGGCAAGAGGATGCGACACTTGGTTGAAGGGAGGGGAAGAGGGAAAAAGGAAAAAAAAAGTCACGAAGGAGTTCGGAGGAGGGAGGAAATTCGGAGACGATAAGGATGCGCGGGCAGCACAAGCTGGTAGGACAGGACAGGACAGGACAGGACAGAGGAACTGGGGGTGGGAATCGCAAAAGTGTGACGCAGCCAACGAAGAGAGATTTGCAGGCTGGCGGCTGGACCCTCCCGACCTGGCGGTATTTTTTGGCAGCTTGCAGAAAATTTCAGGTGCTACGGGGGTGAGGACGTGAGGTCAGAGATAGCGCGCTCCGCCCGCGGCGCCGCCAGCCCAAAAGATGAGGTGGAAGAATGGGAAGCTTGGACGGGAGAGACGGTGTGTGATTGGGTGGGCTGTTTGCGGCAATACAGTAAACCGACCGCGAGACTCCGACTCCAACTCCCAAGAGCAAGCAATGTGTTTGCTGCCGACATTGGATCCAAAAAATGTCTTGGCCGTCCCGGGACCCAGCTGCCTTAGGTCCCTTGCTGCGCTTGCTGTGTAGTGTTAGCTGCTTACCTGCTTACATGCTTACCTGGTGCTGGGCATACAGGGGATTCAACTAAACCCCGTATCGTGGTCCGCGCAGCCGCAGTCTGCTCCCAATGGAGCGCTTGTTTTTGCCCTATCAGTGTTTGGTCCTATTCCACCTCAGCTTTGGGGGTCACGAACATACGCAGTATGGGCCATTTCGAGGTGGGCGTAAGTGGGCCTCGGGGTGTCTCTTGCCCTTTTCCCCTGGTTGTCTCTGTATTTTTTTATTTTATTTTATTTTATTTTATTCCCTTGCCAATCTTGGTTGGCCTTGCTGTTTTTTTTTCCCCTTGCGCGGCGCCTTGTCCGCCGGCGGCCTTGGTCCAAAGAAGAAGCCCCGGCCACGCCCCGGCCGAATCCCGGCGTTTTGTCATTGAATTCTCCTTCCGCACCTGGGCACTTTCGGTCCGTCGCACCTTTACCAACTGCGCCTGGCTGATGTCGCGATAGCAACCCAGACCAGGATGACTCAGGAAATGTCTCCATATCGCGCTTTTTTTTTCGTGACTTTTTTACCCGCCGTCGAGCATCGTGCCCAATCATGCCTTTATCTTACACACATCCCTCACTAATATCTCGCAAAATCCAACTGGGCTTGACCCCCCAAACTCCACTTCCCCGTCCACCCTTACCAGCCTCCAGCCACCTCCAGGCTCCGCTGCGCCAGATCTCATCCACTACATAGTATGTAAATCTCCAACTTGTTTATAGCGGTAGTACCATATTGTGAAGCCTCTCGCGCACATGCTGTTCAATGGCATACCATCCTTTCACCCGAGAAATCCAAAGCTCGTGAGTGAGCTATCATGTTCCGTAAACTTACCTTAACCCCTCGGGATACCTCGACCCAAGGTAGTAGTACGCCCATGTCATCACCCCCGAAAAAATGACCATCGCACTAGTACCCGCAAGCGCCAAATGCCGTTTCTCCGAAGGGCCCCGAGCTAGAGCACGTCTTATCTCGGACTTGAGGAGTTCCTAGGTCTGCTTTTTAGCGTTGCTATGTGGCATGGAGTCGTTCTGCCCGAACTTGTTCCCCATACCCGACCACTTCCCGAGCCCCGAATCTGCACTCCATCCGGCCGAACGTCCCGGTCAATTCCTCCCCCTTTGCCCCCAATCCGGCAGTCCGGGCCCTCGTCTCGAGGTCAACGCCCACCGTCCCCCGGAACCATCAAGGTGCCCGTGCGGCCCGGTGTCTCCACTATTCTCCTTCTCTCCGAGGCCATCGCCGAAACCGTCGGACTTAGGAATTCTGGAGAATGGGACGGGACTGGCAGGGAGGCACGCGACGAAGGCCATCCAGTCTCCTTTCTTAAAAGCATCAATCCCCGAACATCTTCACGTGGGCGTATGCTCTCCGATGTTTTTCTTCCTTCCTCATCATCCCGTGAAGGCTGCCGGGAAATTCCGCCATCAACCTTCCTACATCAAAACATGTGGTGGCTGTTAACAAGTTGGATGCCACAAACGCCTCGGCCAATTACGGCCTTCTAGTTACCATCGCCTCGGCTCCTGTCAACCACTCCCCTTACTTCGTCCTGTCGCTCATCTGCTCTCCTGACCTTCCAATCTGGCACCTCCATACCGCACATGGCCCAAGACACACTCGTGCGTTGTTCCTCAAAGCACGTTGTGAGACTGAAAGTTCCCTCACACTACACAGCTAGCGTCGTCTCCACAGCTATCATCCAGAGATGGGATTGCACTCTCAGCACATGCTCGAAACTGATGGCCGAGGAGAAGAAGGGTCCCCAAGCGGCTCATCGGCAACATGTGCAGATTAGGAAAAGTTTCCTTTGCTGCCTCTGAGCCAAGCACACTCTGTACGAACCGCAGCCTTGGGGGGAAGGGGAGGGGACGGGGAGGAAATAGGATCGAGCGGGTAGGAAGCTAGTGTGTCGGCAGTTTTGTGGTTGCGCGCGCGCGGAAACGAAACGGGGTGTCCATTTCGGCACAGCGTATCTTCTCTCTCTCTCTTTCTCGATGCCCGGGCCCGAGATGCTGAAACGCCGCAAACCCAACCCGCCAACAGCAGGTGAAGAGGGAAGATAAAAAGAGGAGGCGCCGATGGGATGGTATGGGATGGGATGGGGGTGGTCACTGTGCCTTGTGGTGGATACTGAAGCCGACGGCCAAGATGAAACAGGGTTCGTGTCTGACTTACAAGCTCACACAGGAGAATGTGGGCCAGGACCTCCAGAGAGCCGAGACTGAGAGGAACTCGAATCCAGAGGCCTCGCAGACGGAGCACCACCATTGCACCAGCAACCGCCTGGTTTGACACAAAAACCGTGATCGGATTTTGATACGGGCGGCAAGGCTGTGGATGCAGTCGTGGTGCGGCTGCCAAAACCCCACGGTTTCCAACATCATGCAATTCCTCACACCGCGAGTGTTCGCTTGCGTGCCGTCTTATCCTCGCGAGCTTACGCAAACCGCGGGCCCCCTCGTCGTTTGATCACGAACAATGTCCGTCGGACAGCGTCATGACGCGAAAGCTCCCTCGCACTTCAGCTTGCTTCCATGAATCCAATCTGATAGGCGCTTAAGCGCATGACATGGACCCAGTCCGGCGGCAGCGAGCTGAACCCGCTGCGTTATGCCGGCAGATGTGGGAAAAAAGAGGGCGTCCATTGAGGATGGACCACAAGACACTCGCACCATCGAAAGGTCTCGACTGAGTCGACCGAGGACTCTCGACTCATATCTTGCAATCCACTTTCGTTCCGTCGATGGTGTAGCGAAGCTAGCTCGTCAAGTTGAAAGGTCAATGGGCTCCATCATCATCATCATCCACCTCCAAGCGAACAGGGTCGAAACGGCTGGTAGGTTGAGCAGTACATAGCCTCGCAACATACATGCCACACTTCCCTCGCCAATCTTGCATTGTGCCAGTGTGGTAAGAGACAGAGGGTGGAGAGGGGGAGAGAGGAAGGAAGCCAAGCTGAGAGCCTTGGGCGGGTGCCATCCATGCATCCATCGCAAGGCGCGGCGGCTGCACACCCGAGCTCTTGGTAAGAAGATCGTGAAGCTTGGCAGGCGAGACATCGTGGTAGCCAAGCCGCGGAGGATTTGTCAAGCGAACGTTGATCCCAGCAACTATGGCATGCCTTCTCACTACCCAGGAACGAAATCTGTTTGGATCCTCCAACAGATTCTCTGGGCAAAGAGTCGGCGTATATTAATTTCAATTTATTGTGAGGGAAGCCTTGAGAGCCTTGGTAGCCTTGGTTGAAGAAGGTTTCCCGCAGCTTTGGACTCGTGAGGCAGAGCACGGTTGTTAGATAATATGATTAGATCTCTGCCAAGCCTCCGCCTTGGGCTTCTCGTATGCATGCGGCGTAGGCCTTTCTGGCGAGCGGTGCCATCTTTTTCAGGTATACGAATTATGAGGCTCAAGCGCCTCGGGAACATCGTACAGCCTCTTTGTAGTAGAGTCACGCGAGCTAGCTTTTTGGATTATTGGAATACGTAGTTTATGGGTGAGGAGAAAAGAAGCCTCCTTTGATACAAGCCGAGAAGCTCGCGTAGAGCGGAACCTTCATCTTCGAAAATGACCAGCGGCTAATGAAGGCCAAGAAACCAGCACGATCAAGCTTCTCTTCGTTACCCTTCCTCCCTCCTCGTAAAGATCCAATCAGCAGGCTCAGCGAGGTAAAAGGCAGACGGAGGAGGTGTGGTTTTTTGGCTCAGATCCGCCCCCCCCCCATAGGGCACCACTCGCGGCCTCGCGGTCTCAAGGAACGTCAGCAGAGCCAGATTGTCCTGCAAGTTCCACACTTCCTCAACCTCCTTCCGAACCCTGGACTGTCGTGTGTCAATGTAAGGGATGTC